AATAAACAAAAATAAAAGAAAAATAAAAAACAACAAAACCAACCAACAAAAAAAATGAAATCTCCCTTTCCCCCAAATGCTATCAGCAAGAAAATGACACTACAAAATTATAAAGGGAAAATAAGCCATTAGGACTTTGAACAACCCTCTACACAGTGTAACTGTGTGAGACTCTGACTGAATTTCAATGAGATCCTAACTTTATAGTCTGTAACTTCACAACTCTGTTAATAGATGGGCTCAATTAAGAAACATTGGTACTTAAAAACGAGGTGATTATTTTTTTTGAAAATAGCATTCTGACCAAGATGAATGGTTCGTTGCCAAATATTAGTCTGTTATTAGAAGCTTAAAAATGATGTGTTGTGGTGGAGTTCATGCCCAATTCAATCAGCCTAATCAGTGGCTGACTGAATAGCATACTCCTACATAAAAAAAAAAAAAGATGATGTGTTGAAATTGGAGGCTTACTTTGTTAAGGGGAAAATAATTGTTATTTTGTCACTGGAGAAAGGATCTATCAACATGTATTCTGTTTCCCAGGAAATAGGAGCATTAAGCAGAGGTGTTATGCCACTGTATGAATCCTTCACTGAAAGACCATTGTGATAGTCATTGCAATAACTGAAAGAAATGCAAACAATTTAGAGCTAGTTATGTCTGAGGATTGGACATGAGCTTTTTAAGCCACTTGGCACGCTACCTTCAAAAAAGAAACTATGCCTTTCAAAAAAGGTAGAAGACGATGTATAATGACAAATGAAATAGTGAATAGTGGGATGAAAACTGCAGTCCTTCAATGCCCCAAGGGCCAATGACAAAGGAAAGCTGAAAGATGTAGTTGGGGACACTGATTTCCAACAGCTCTTGATTGCAGGCAAAGACCAGATGGTCCATGCACAATAAAGATTCTAAGTAAACAACATGTTTAGGCATGGCATACGAGACATGTGTGTTGGAATGATAAGAAGTCTAGAGGAAAGCTAATTAATCATTGTCACCAGCAAAATAACACATGGAGAGGCATGGATTGGTTCCAGATAAGCCCAAAGTGAGCAGATGAACTTCTAACAAGCATTTACCAATTGAGGGAACCAGGGTTTTGACATGGCCGTTCCCAAAAAGGTCTTAAGACTGTAGGCTTACATTATCAAGGGTTTAGACCATACACACCTTCCACTGGTGTTTCAGTTCACTATGAATTTAAGCATTTTTGTTCACTCTGAATTTGATGTGAAACTAGTCGGCAGACATTGTACATAAGCAAACTCACTAAATCTAAAAATTGACTTCTGACTGAAGAAGCATACCACACTCCAAATTCGTACACTGATCATAACAAAGTGGTTAAACACACAAACTATGGTACTGAAGTGCTATGACAAGTGACTTGCCTTTTCTATGCCTCAATTTCCTCACTTGTCAAATAAAAGATACTAACAACACATAGGTTGTAGCTACAGTTAAATGAATGCCTACTGACGCCATGACAATTTTTCCCTCGGAGTCAGGCTAAGAGTGGCTGGAGGGTCGGCAAATGCCTCAGTTTATTCTGACTGTCCTTCCTGAACCCCGCCCTTGCCTTGCTCCCCACCAGTCCCACCAGGTGAACAAGATGTCTTTGGCTTCTTCCCAGTTAAAAGAAAAGGCAATGAGGGGCTGGAGCTATAGCACAGTGGGTAGGGCGTTTGCCTTGCACGCGGCTGACCCAGGTTTGATTCCCAGCATCTCATATGGTCCCCTGAGCACTGCCGGGAGTGACTCCTGAGTGCATGAGCCAGGAGCAACCCCTGTGCATCACTGGGTGTGACCCCAAAAAGGAAAAAATAAAGAAAAAAAAAAAAGAAAAGGCAATGTGGTGTCGATGGGACATGGGAATATTGTACACGAATACCAGAAACTTTTAACACTATTGTACTACCTAGAGTGAGATTAAAAATACATATAGATTGGGGCTGAGTGATAGCACAGCGGGTAGGGTGTTTGTCTTGCACGTGGCCGACCCAGATTCGATTCCCAGCATCCCATATGGTCCCCTGAGCACCGCCAGGAGTAAGTCCTGAGTGCATGAGCCAGAAGTAACGCCTGTGCATCGCCAAGTGTGACCCAAAAAGCAAAAAAAAAAAAAAAAAAAAAAAAAATTATTTCATTGCAGATCAGTAAACAAAGCTCTGGTTTTCTGGTACATTACAAACTATCAGTCCCATTAAAATAATCCTAAAAGATAAAAATGTAATGAAATAGAAGAAAAAAAGGTCTTTTCTGTGACTTAAAAATTCTCCCCCCTGTGTAATTATCCCTGTTGCAGGGGCTCAGGTGCTCCTGTGAGGGATGCTTGCCCGGCCATTTTCTGACAAGGAGACGGCCATCCTCCCCACGTGGGCCATCTTAGCTTGCAGAGAGAAGTGACTCTTCCCACGTCTTTCCAGTCTCTCTATACAACAGTGGTGACAGTTACAAAACGAAAGCCACTCATGCTGGGCGTCCCTGGAGACTGGTTTGCTTGTTGGTCAACAGAGGTGCTAGATACGCATTTTAAAACATCCTTCCACCCATTTGTTTGAAGGGTGGCTTTGGCTTTCTTTCATAAAATTTAAGCAACCCAAAAGAAGCCAAGTTGACACACTTAAAAATGACCTGGTCCACACAACATAATGGAAGAAGCTATCTACACAACTTGAGTTTAGGAGACTTGTGGAAGGTGAGGCTTGAGAAGAGATGTTGGGGTTCTTGGGATGGAGAAGGGTGGGCATGATGTTGACAGGTACAGTATTCAAGTTGTGTGCATTAGAAACCAGTATCAAAAGTTTTGTAAATCGTGGATTCTCAATCAGTGTTTTTAAAATGAAATACATCTCACTTTTAAGAAAATTTTCTAATTACTATCCAAAAAAAAATGACCGGAGGCTGGAGAGATAGCACAGCGGGTAGGGCATTTGCCTTGCATGCGGCTGACCCGGGTTCGATTCCCAGCATCCCATCTGGTCCCCTGAGCACCGCCAGGAGTAACTCCTAAGTGCAGAGCCAGGAGTAATCCCTGAGCATCGCCAGGTGTGACCCAAAAAGAAAAAAAAAAAAAAAAGACCTGGTCATCAGCAAGACCACATTCTTAAACCAACATTCCAACATAATCTATTCCCCCAACAGAATGCAGGTTTTTTCGCTCTGCACTTTTGCATTTTTCCAACTTACACATGAGCATAGAATTTTGATAGGAAACTTTATATGTAGACTGAGAATTTTTTTTAAAATTCAGATCTATTTCCCATCATATATTTTATTTTAGGGTTGGTCTAGGAACTTCCTCGATTGATCATATGATAAGATAATGGCTATTACAAACCAAATATATTAATATATTTTGCAACATAGTGGACATGTTTTGTTTTGCTTATAATTCCCTCCACACAGACAAAATATATTATAGATTTTATGGTTTATTGTTACTTGAAATTGATATTTATTTTCTGACTTTCATTACCTTTCTTTTACATGACAGGGTTTAGACTATTTTATTTACAGACTTTAAGAGATGATAATGTTGATAAATAAGTAACTGCTCTAAGTACTGCGTGCTCTTTCAAGCTAGGAAAATAATCTAATCACATTAACTCTTTGGTTGTAAAAGCTGAAAACAAATATCACTGCTTTACAATGTATGATCTAAGAATTACTTATACCAGAAATAAATGTGGAACTATTTGGGCATTTAACTAACTCAAAATGAGTTTCACCAGAACCCTCTTCAAGTATTACTTGAAAAATAAATACTTTAGTAAAACATAAAAATACTGGAGACAGTGAATGAAAATCTTAACTACAAAGGCACATACAACTGTTTAATGATAAAGTAAGAACTACACTAATAATAATCCCTTTAAAACAATAAAATAGGGATTAAATTAAAATTTTCCCATAGAAAAAAAAAACAACCAAAACTTGCATGTTCCAATTATTTGGCTAGATAGACACCATGTGTGAAATTTAGAAAATGAGTAATACATTATAAATAATAATAAAATAAGGTCCACTGCCAGGTACACAGGACAATGTATAAACTATCTGCCAGAGGACAGACATCAAGTCAGGTGAGTGAAAGAGAATAGGAGTCAATAGGAACTGCAAGTTTCACAGGAGACCCCTATCTGCAGAAAGATAAAGCAGGAAGGGAAATAAGAGAGAAACACAACAGTTACATTTTTGGCACCAAATAAGAGAGTTTAAGACCAAAGAATACATTAGAGGGAGAGGGGAAGGGATGAGAGACAAGTTTCTTCCCCATATTTTAAAATGGTCCTTTATTTAAAAATAGCATCTGTGTGACAAGGCATATTCGACATGCCAAATACAGTAACAATGATGTATCTCATTCTCCTGACCCCGAAAGAGCCTCCAATGTGGCACCATTGGGAAGGATGAGTAAGGAGAGACTGCTAAAATCTCAGGGCTAGGACTAATGCAGACATTACTGGTGCCCGCTCGAGCAAATTGATGAAATAACGGGATGACAATGACACAGTGATATAGTGATCTGTGACGGGACCTTCAGGTGTTAAATAACCACTTTCTTTCAATTAGGATTTTCCCCCACTAGGCTTCCTGTTCGCTGAAATATTCAGCATTTATCTTTGGAAGGGAGATGCCCGTCCTCTTTAAAGAAAACTTTTTATAAAAGTACAAATAAAAGAGTTAGGTACAGAGGGGGTGGGCAATATTTAGGACTTACAAGCTTCCTTAACAGTTTCTGTAGAACAAGGTTCTCAGAGAAATATCTCTGGGGGAGCTTTTCACGTGGCCTGATTTGCACAGGTGACATTTCAACAAAAATAATAGCGAAGGTCCAGGGAGGAGAGGCCTTGTTGTAGGGTCCCTGCCTCATCTGGGGGAGGTTCTGGCTTCAAACCTGGATCACCAAAAGGAATCGCAGGAGACAGGAAGCCAGAGAGCAGGGCCTCCCACATAGGGACAGAGTAGCGGTGCCACGAGGGAACGCGTCTTACCATACAAGTGTCCAGATCTTCTAAGCGCTCGATCTCCGTGAGCTCCTCCATCGTGATGATGGAGCGTTTCGACGGTTTCTCCTCAGCCAGTTCGATCTCCAAGGACTCCTGCTGAGGAAGGGGCTTGCCACGTCTGTTGAAATGGTCAGCCTGGATGGCCAAGATGTGACCGAGGAGAAATTAAAGCATGGTGTGAGAGATGAGCAGCTAATTAAGTTCCTGAAACTATGTCCCATGAGATCACAGCGGGCAGAGGTTGGAGAAATTGTATAAACAAAGAGTTATTCTCCTCCTCCCAGAGAAATCTTGTTTTGTATCTGGTGTTGAAAAGAATCTGTCACTGTCCTCCCGTTGTTCATCGATTTGCTCGAGCAGGCCCAGTAACGTCTCCATTTTGAGACTTGTTGTTACTGTGTTTGGCATATTGAATACGTCACAGGTAGCTCGCCAGGCTCTCCAAGAGGGGCGGAGGAATCGAACTCGGCTTGGCCGAGCTGGCTGCGCGCAAGGCAAATGTGCTACCACTGTGCTATCACTCCAGCCCTGAAAAGAATCTAATGGAAATAAAATAATCCCAAGCTTTCTTATTTTAAAGAATCAAAATGAAGGGAATTACAAACAAAATATTTTCATGCAATGAATGCCTAATTTGATATGATTTTTTAATTTCATATCATATATGACAGGCTACCAAATGCAACCTGCCCACACGGCAGAGTCTGGCAAACTCCCCGTGGCGTACCCAATATGCCAAATATCAGTAACAATGATGGGTCTCATTCTCCTAACCCTGAAAGAGCCTTGAATATGGCACTTTTCAAAATCTCAGGGATAGGACGAAGGAGATGTTACTGGGGCATGCTCGAGGCAATTGACGAACAACAGGATGATCGTGATCGTGATATTATATATAAAATTAAATAAAAATTTCAATTTCTAATAATTTATTAATTAAGACTTAGGGGGATCTAAAATTTTAAATAGTAAGAAGTGGAATAAACTGGGCTGAAATAAGTTAAGTTCTAGTTCATTATAAGAAATTTTGATCTAATTCTTTCATAATGATGAGAATCAGTTGCCAATTTCATGGAATCTTGGGAACACTTCTAAATTTAAGATGGAGACAATATTTACGTTTTTAGAATGCCTTTGAAAAGAAACTTGAGGACACAACAGCTAAAGTCTCCTCAGAATGCAAACCAGCACTAAGTACATAATGGGATTTAGATGAATTTCAGAACAAAAGTGCTTTTAACAATTCTATTTTAATTACCTCCAAAAGTTAATACTTTGAATAATAACATTTTTAAAAGAACAACAAGTGCAATAACAACAACAACAACAAAAAGTACAACTGAAAGTGAAGTTCTCAAGTGCTGTAGTTAATGGAATAACCAGTATTTGTGGGACTGATAAAGCACTTTGACATGGTGTTTGAAATACACTTTCTATAAACTTTTTATAAACTTTCTATAAAGAATACTCTACTAAAAAAAAAAGAATGCTCTAATGATTTTGTTTTTATTTTATAAAAAGTCTGGGACCTGGAACGTAACTCAATAGTAGACCACCTGTCTTGAATGCTTGAAACTCCAGGAATTTGAAACTCTCTGGCACTGGAAAAAAAATTAAAAATGAAAGAAGATCTGGATTGGGGGTTCTGAATTAAATGGTATCTGGGCCATGAGTTAGAACCTAGTGACTCATAAATTCTCTCTGGTGACAAAGCCCTTTTATATACTTTGCCACAAACCTATATATACTGGTATAAGTACAATAAAAGAAAGAACATGAAAAATAACCTATGTTTGAATATTGTGGTCCTTTCAAATCAATCTAGAAGCTTCTATAGAACTTCCTCTTGTTTCTGACTAATCTTATCATGGGTTCGTAACCACTGTTAGTGGACAAGTCCTAGTCCACAGCGAATATTTTTGAGTACCACAGCTGGGAATGTCTAACTTTTACATTTCATTTGCTTATTTATTCATCTGGGCTGCAGCGATAGCACAACGAGTAGGGTGTTTGTCTTTGCACACGGGTGACACCGTTTCGATTCCTCTGTCCCTCTCAGAGAGCCCGGCAAGCTACTGAGAGTATCCCACCCACAAGGCAGAGTCTGGCAAACTACCTGTGGAGTTTTCGATCGCCAAAAACAGTAACAACAAGTCTCACAATGGAGATGTTACTGGTGCCTGCTTGAGCAAATCAATAAACAATGGGACAACATTGATATAGTGCAGTGCTATTTGTTCATCTATCTTGGGGTCCACTGAGCAGTGTTCAGGAGAGCCAGGGGACCCCCCAGTGATTCTTGCCCAACCAGGCTTGTAATTCTGAGTGAGGGCCTAAGATGCTATTTGGGCCCTCTGGTGCCAGCCACACTGGGCTACTCAGGTGTTGTTTGGTGCTTCCAGCACTGTACTCAGTGATGCTTGGAATCATGTGACACTAGACATCAAGCCAGAGTTGGGCATATGCCAGGCACATATCCTAACCACTGAACTATTTCTACCCCTTGTCTTTCATGTTTTAGAGGAGAAAACGTATCTTAATCATTTTTTTCTGAAATGAATTTTTCAAAATATACTATTTCATAAAGAAGAATCTGTTAGTATTTCTCTCATTTTGGTATCCTCTAAAGTCACCCAATAATCCAATGCCATAAAAGTGGGTAACTCCAGACTACAGTTAACCTGAAATTTTTCATTGAAGAAAATAACTTGCTTGGGAGAATTCTACTGTATCATACTGGGATTGCTTCTGAGACCAGATATAACTATTAATAAAACCTTTCACTGTGTCTCAGAGGATTTCCTGCAGTTGGAGGAAATGTGAAGTTTCTTATATGTTATTCATATGCAGATACTGATGCTGAAATCTGAAATGGCGGTCTTTGACTTTGGTGTAGAAGCAGTCTCCAGAAGAAGAAAATTTATGCTTTCACCTTGATTATATCCAAGAGGACTGGCTGGGATATAATCAAGCAGTTCACAATCAAGAACCTATGTCCATCTGACTTTTTATTCTGGACTTTTTATACAAATATTTCAATTCCTTCTTCTTTTCAAGAATATTTCACTTTAAAACGCTCATGTCAGAGCAGTAAAATATAGATAACTTAATATTTTTAAACAAAAATCATAAATTTTAAATCTCATCCTCAATATTATTCCCACTAAAACTTTTGACCTGCCTTAGGCGGGCAACACGCTTTCAGGGTATCATTACTTCTCTTTCCCCCTGCCAAGGAATAATCAAGCTCCAGAATGTCTAAAAGCAATGGAGAAGAGGATGAAGGAGAAAGAGAATCGTAACTGATAAAGATACCGACGAGTCGAGTGTAGAAAATAAACCACATCCCCATGCTGAAGGACACAGTGCTTCTTAAAACTCCCGCTCAAGCTGGCCGCAGCACTCACCAGTTTATGATGACAGTGAGAAAGGGCATCCAGAATTTCATCCACAATTCGGTCAGCCAGGAAGGAGGCCACCGTCAACTTCACTTCACTACGTGAAAATCAAAAGGAGCATTGTAATTTGTGCAAGGAAGGAACATCCCAGGCGCCTAATGCTGAGTTGATAAGGTCAACTGACATTCAGGTTCAGCCTTTTATGAACGCAATATAAAAACACGTGAGCAGGCGAAGGATTTCCCTAACATCAGCCCTAAACACTGCCATAAACAAACAACCAAAGTTTCTTTTACCGAAGTTTACCTGCCTTTGCAATTTCAAACCCCAGCATTTAGTGATAGAAATGAAAAACATCTGGATCAAGACAAATTTAATGGGAGCCATATGTACCACGTGGTAAGTAAGGAACAATCCATCCATTGACATAAACGAAAACAAACCTGGGTTGGAGTAAATTAAGACAGTCTAGTCTGGTACTTAAACTTTCGTTATTGCTTTAATATGTATAAGCCCCTGCCTCTTAACGTTAAGTTTTTACCAAATAAATGATTCCATATTCTACTGCTTCTGTTTGGATGCACCATCTTATTTTGAGTAACTACAGATTCACTGCTTTCTTGTCTTTTGTAAACAGACATTACCAAAATGTACAATTTTAATGACACTTGCCTGACCTTTAAGAGGTACCCAGACAATAGAAAATGACTTATAGTTTTCACTAATATATGGCCCAGCCATGGTGTATCAGATGACTGGTATTTTCGTCAACATCTCAGCTATTTGGTATTCCCAAGAATTCAACTCCTATGTTTATCTTCAGCCCGAAAGTCCCCTACCTAAATACTCACAGGCATAGATATATCAGCACATCATAGGATTAAAAGTAAACTTAAGGGACAGATAGAAACCCACAATCCAACATTTTCTCTTAGATTTGTCTGGCTATCGAAGCCAACAATTTTAAAGTTTTTTGAGCAGGGAAGAAGTTATTCAGATGAAATAATTTAATTCCCAGTGCTAAAGTTGAAAGTATATTCGTGTGACAGGGCGCCAGATTTCTAACCTAAAGGCAGTCATTTGCATCGAAATTTCTCAGCTCAAGAAGATTTCTCAGAGGTGGGGGCTGGCAAGAGAGCAGAACACTAACCTTTGATGCCTACAGTAAACATTTTCCTCAGCTGAAGATAAAAGGATTTCTCTTTAATTCTTGTCGCAGAAACAAGGTCTCTCTTAGCTGCTTGGTTTATCAAGTAACTTATTTCATTCTTCCCCAGAGGTATACACTGATAAGAGATTCACTGGGGTGTCTTATTAGAAATAGATTCCCCCACCTCAAACCTCCAGAGGGGCCCTGAGAATCTCACTTGAACACACACTGGCTGGAAACTGCAAGTGTCATAAAACTACAGCCAGTAATTTCTTTTGTTCCCCTTCTTGAAGGAAGGGAAGTGGGGGAGGGGCCTATCCATTTCAAATTTTAATACTACTAAATGATTCTTAAGAACAATTACTCCTTTAATGTCTCAGAATTGCTCTATCACTGTGCTACTGGATGCTATACTTACTGATTGAATTTACAGATCACAAAAAAAATTTAATATTTTTTTTTGCGGGGTGGGGGGGAGGAGGGCACACACCCGCAGTGTTTAGGGACAACACTATGATCTGTCCTTAACAGTGACCCCTGGCAGTACTCAGGGAACCATATCTGGTACAAGGGATCATGGAACTAGGGTCGGCCACAAGGAAGGCAAGCTTCTTATCCTGGTACTGACTTTCTGGCCCCAGCTTGCAAGTTTTACAGAAAATGATTCAACTTGGGGTGGGAGGCATTAAAAAAAAAAGAAAGAAAGAAAATGATTCGACTTGACCTGTGTGCGTGCACATGTCTATGTCTATGAAGGTAGACATCCATGCACATGTGCATGCAGACATTCAGATGTTGTCATTGTATTACGTACTGTAAAAGGCCAAGTAAGGCTTTACAGGAATATAATGGATTCATTCATGTGTACAGTTTTACTTGTTCAGTTCAACTTTCAGAATTTGCCCATTTAAGTATTCATATACGACAGACGGGCATACCAGTAAAAGCACCAGTGTATGCTCCATTGGCAGCCAAATCCATTAGTATGAAGGCAAAGTGGTCAAAATACTTTTCTCCTTCGTATGTAAGTGGGCTTGAGTTAAAAAATCATTAATCTAGGGGATTCTAGAAAAGAATTTGGATTCTAGAAAATTCTAGAATAGTCTCTAAAGGTCTTTAACTCAAATTCCATTAACTGTCTTCCAAAGAGCTGTTTGGAATATCCTAAGCCATACACACACACATCCACACAGTTCTATCTTAGAACTCAGACTGTGCAGTTATTGCAAAATTCTTTGACTGCAAATATATGTAATAGAAGGATTATTTCAAAATTATTGGGGAGTAGGGACTGGAGCAATAGCACAGCAGGTAGGGCGTTTGCCTTGCACGCGGCCAACCCAGGTTCGATTCCCCGCATCCCATATGGTCCCCTGAGCACTGCCAGGAGTAATTCCTGAGTGAAGAGCCAGGAGAAACCCCTGTGCATCGCTGGGTGTGACCCCCCAAAAAATTATTGGGGAGTGAAGGGCTAGCTCCTGAAGGGCTTGGGGACTACCAAGTCACTTCTGGTTGGTTTGACAGAAAAGTGAAATTGGTATGTGGTACTAATGATCAACTCTGGGGCTTCATACCTGCTGGGTACATGCTTTATAGCTTCAGCTATATCCCTGGCCCTGAGTTATTTTGGTTTTGACTTATTTTCCTTGCATGCTATCATCTAGGGCTATCATTACACATTGGCATCACTTCCGACTCTCCAAAGAGCTGTTATTTTTGCTAAGTATTCTTAGCAAGATTCAGAAATGGTTGATGGGGGGAGGAAATGGAACCTGAATTCTAGTCATTCAATTCCCTGCTGAAGAAACATAATGAGAATTAAGCTTGGCTGCAGTGTACTACCGCTATTCACCCCAGGGTCTCTATGTCAAAATTCAGGCAAATGCGCCGATGAGCATACCTTCTATTTCTTGGCAAAATTTTCAAACTTGATCACACAGAATCTACACAAATACTGCAGCGCACTCTTAGTATGCACGAGTCTCCCAGAAGTATCAAAGGCACCCAGAAAGAAAACAGGGCCAGGTGACTGTGAGGCTCTACCACCTTATCAGGCTGTCACTTGTTCACTGCAGAACCGTGTGAGAAGGGAAAAAGAGCTCAGTCTTCAAGGGAGTGATGTTATAAAGGCCAAAACGAGGGCTGGAGCCATAGTACAGTGGGGAAGGCTTTTGCCTTGCATGTGGCCGACTGGGGTTCGATTCCCAGCATCCCATACGGTCCCCTGTACATGTGGATGTGTGTGGATGGCTGAGTAGGAGTGATTCCTGAGTGCAGAGCCAGGAGTAATCCCTGTGCATGGCTGGGTGTGAGCCCCCCCGCCCCCCCAAAAAAAGGCCAAAATGAAACTTCAGAAGCAGAAAGCAAGGGATTATAAACACGTGCTCTCCTCGTAAAAAGCAGCTCTTAAATAAAGAGCAGCCCAGGACTGACACGGGCACATCTGTGGTCATCCTGGTTTGGAAACGGACCACACCTGTGCATTCCTGCGCGACTGCGTTTCCATGCAGTCACTGCAGATGAGACACGCTGGAACATACCATCTGTGGATGACGCCGACACGGACCCCTACTGCAGCCCCCTACTGCAGCCTCACAAGCCACAGCCTGAGCTGCAGAGCACTGGCGACGTACCTAATTTTGTTCAGGATATCAATTCCAGACTGCTCCAGCAGGACATTTTTCACGAAAGTCCGGGGAATGGAAATCTTTTCGGTGCTGGCATGAATCAGGTCTTGTCGAATGTGGGCTTTCTTCATCACGTTGGGACAAAGGTTCTCCGCAGCATCAACCATGGACTCGAGCAGAGCCTGCAATGCGGCACACAGGAGGAGGAGGACCGTGAGAGGCGGGTGGCAGCGAGGCTATAAAATGCAAAGGGAGTTAAGAGGACACCCCGCCCCCTCGGAACAGGGGCACACAATAGAACTCCAATGTATGACCAATGGCTCTGGGCTGCCCTGGGTGACTCTTAACTACTAGCTGATCCCTGGGTTGAGGCAATAACTTCACATCAGACTCTTGGCAGAGAGAGGTACCTGGGCTTCTTGCCACTTCTAGCGTTGTGCTGTGCTTGTACTTAACAGGGGTGCATTCACCTTCAGAGGGAATGGACATTGATCAAACCCTATACACCCATGCACCACACCAGAATGTTCTCTCTGGTACCAGAAAATCCAAATGATGCTTATCCCCAGAACAAATCCGATTTGAAATCTTGTGCGATTTCACAAATTACAGAAGCGCCAAATCTTGGTGCACTCTTGAAAGCGCTAGCAAAATTGCTGTAAAGAGAAAACCATAAAACTACCATCCCTTTCTACTATTTTTTTTGTAAGAGGAGTTTTATGGGGACAAAAGTCTCACTGTTGCAGCAATAAAAATAGGAAGAGTAACAAAAAATTGACAAAGCACTTTATAACCTATCAGTAACCGTCAGCACTGGTTTCTGTGAAATTGCAAAATTTTAAATTTTCTGCTCGTTTCATCCTTCCAACATCTGTAAAAATAGGTAGAGCAGCTATTCATGTAATGACTATTTTATAGCAGAAGAAAGTGAGTTCAGGGCAGTTAAGCAATTTGCCCGACAGGGATGACACTGTTATCAAGGGGGAAAGGTACCAGCATCAGTCAGACCTAAATTTTAATCCTAGCTGAGCGACTGTGGGCTGAGTGACCGATTTCTCACCCACAAAAATAGCAAATGGAGAAATTCTCGCCTCCTTGGACTACTGAAGCTAAAAGGGTGTTACATATAAAGTCGTCAGTAGGGTCTAGCACAAAATACAAATTCAGTATGTCACAGGTAGGGAGATTCATCCGATCAATGATGCTACTCAATGACATGATTCCAGTTTCTTGAAGCCAGGTGATCCCATTCTTATTCCAGGATGAACAGGGAAAAAAAGCATCACTGTGGAAATTCTAATAACATGGTCAGCCTGCTCATATATTCACACGCAAAGTACATGCATCCTTGAAAAGAAAATCTCTTGGGAGGCTGGGGGATGAACAGAAGAAATCAGCATGCGATAAAGATTTCATAGAAACAGAGAAGTGTGAAGCGTTTGCTTAAGAAGTTCCTCAAATCATTTATTTTGTCAATAGAACAGTCTCCCGATCTCTGCTTAGCACATTATTCCAAGAAAACTGCATGCAATGCAAGTAAGTTTGGTTAACACAAATTCTTTCTCTCCGTGGCATTAAAATGAATGTGTTCCAGACAGAGCAGCAATTCAACACTGCTGAGAGGGATCACGTGATAGTATCAATGCTGGGTCATTCTCAGACCCAGGCCGCTTTGGAAGGACCCCTGAGTGACTGTGCAAATCAGGACGCATCCCAGGCATCCGAGAGAGAGAGAGAGAGAGAGAGAGAGAGAGAGAGAGAGAGAGAGAGAGAGAGAGAGACGAGGGAGCGAGGTAAATTGGTGTTCAGGTTGAATGCCAGAACATTTCTATGCAATTCTGAGTAGCATGAAGTAAGCTACCTCTTCAAATCTCTGCATTCGCACCTTTAATGTCATGATAGGTTCTGTTTCTTTCTACAAATCCACCCTGCATGCTTTGACCCTTTAAAACAGTCTTTTTTTTTTTACCCTTTCTTTTTTGGGTTACACCCAGTGATGCACAGGGGTTACTCGCGGCTCTGCACTCAGGAATCACTCCTGGCAGTGCTCAGGGGACCATATGGGATGCTGGGAATCGAACCTGGGTCAGCCACGTACAAGACAAATGCCCTACTAGCTGTGCTATTGCTAGTCATTTTTAGCCTGCCTCTTGTATTCTCTTCAATTTTGCCATTAATTCTCTACCTCCCCTTGAACCCAGCATAGACCAACAATATAATGCAGCAGTTTCTTTTCTAGAAAGCCATGGTTTCCTCTGACGTGTACACCCACCCTGTAAGTGAAGGCCGATTTCAGCAGATCTATTAAATAGATGAAGACATCAGAGATTGCAGGAGGCAACGTGGTACGTTTCCCGGTGCATGAATCAATTTTTGGTGAGTCGCATCCCTTTCGGTGTGGGACCCTGCACTGGAGGATGTTTGCGGTCACTGTCACCTGAACATGTCAGTTTCTGTGACAAGCCAAAAAAAACCACCAAAGACTTCCTTAGGGTTCCAGAGGCATGCAACAGAACCCGGGTTCAGCACTTGTGATTGTGCTAAAAATCATCCAGATTTTACTTCCTGTCTTAAGCAGTGGTTTCTGAGATGGTGAGGTCACCGGTGGTGTCCGAGACAGGAGCCACTAGCCACAGTGGCCACTGAACACTGCAAATACCCAATGAAGCTGAGAAGCTGCATTTGATATTTTACTTAATTTCATTTAAAGGACAAGTGTGTATCATCAACAACACAATGGTCTAATGCTGACCTCTTAATTCTGCCAGGATCAGAGAAGGATGTTAAAATAATTCTGCTGAGGAGGTGGAGCGATAGCACAGCAGATAGGGCATTTGCCTTGCATGCAACCAACCTGGGTTCGATTCCCAGCATTCCATATGGTCCCCTGAGCACCGCCAGGGGTAATTCCTGAGTGCAGAGCTAGGAATAACCCCTGTGCATCTCAGGGTGTAACCCAAAAAGAAAAATAATAATAATTCTGCTGAGCCCAAAGTAATCTCTGAGCAGCATCACCAGGTGTGACCCAAAAGAAGGAGGAGGAGGAGGACTTACATGGTCACTTTTAGGATTTTACTTGTATTATTCATTTATTTATTTATTTATAACAAAATAGGCAGTACAACTATTGTTTCAAATTCATCAATGCTGTTATGGGACAATGGTGGAGGGTCATGGGCATCTGGTGGTGATGGTGTGCAGTAAATTTCAACATCCATACCATATACTTTAATGCTATTATAACCATATTAATGGGGGCTGGAGCAATAGTATAGCAGGTAGGGCTTGCCTTGCATGTGGCCAGCTTGGGTTCAATCCCTAGCATCCCATATGGTCCTCTGAGCACTGCCAGGAGTCATTCCTGAATTCAGAGCCAGGAGTATTCCTTGAGCATCATTGGGACTAATCCCAAATCAATAGACAAATATATGATTTAAACTAATTTTTTTTAATGAGGTAAAAAAATAAGATCAGATTTCATCTCAAGTCTATTTTTCCCAGGAACATCTTTGAAGGGTCCATACATAAAAACAAACAAAAAACTGATGCATAATGCTTGTAGAATTTTAAAATAAACTGATATTTTATATGACAGCTACACTCCCATCTTTTTTGGGAGGGGGAGGGGCAAGCCCTGATGTTACTCAGGGCTTATTCTTGGCTCTATACTCAGGGATCTTTCCTGGTAAGCTCAAGGGGCCAAACAAAAGGAGCTGGAGTTGAAACTAGGTCAGCAGCATTGAAAGGCAAGAGCCTTATCCACTTTGCTCTCTTTTTGGCCTCCTGTACTGCCCTATTATTCTGGCAAGCCAATAACCTGCTATAATTAATTATCAGTGAAAACAACTTTCTGTACTAATGCACTCTGAAATCTTTCTTTTCCTTTGGAAACTATGAAGTGTGAGAAAATTCAAAAACTCAGAAAACACTTTTGGCCAAACAAAGACAAAAAGGGCCAAAATGCCAAGCCAGGGGCTGGAGCGATAGCACAGCGGATAGGGTGTTTGCCCTGCACGCGGCCGAACCGGGTTCGATTACCAGCACCCCATAGGGTCCCCTGACCACCGCCAGGAGTGCAGAGTCAGGAGTAAAGCATTTCCGGGTGTGACCCAAAAAGAAAAAAAAAATGCCAAGCCGCAGCACTCAGGACCCATTTTTAAAGTAAATATGAAAAGTATCAGTGAAATATTTCACAGGCTAAGGCCTGAGTAAAATCAGGAATTTTCAATGCTAAAACAAGCACTAAAATTTACCAGAAGAGAAAAATTAGAGAATTATGTCAAACTGTCAAATTCCATTTATTCATATATGGCTACTCAAAGACTCCTCAATATTACCATCACAAACAAGAAAACACCAGGGGAGCTGTCATTTTCAAAATACCTACAGGGCTGGAGAGATAGCACAGAGGGTAGGGCGTTTGCCTTGCACGTGACCGACCAGGGTTTGACTACCAGCATCCCATATGGTCCCTTGAGCACCGCCAGGAGTAACTCCTGAGTGCAGAGCCAGGAGTAAGCCCTTTGCATTGCCGGGTGTGATTCAAAAAAGCAAAAAATAAATAAATAAATAAATAAAAATACCTATAGCCAGAGAGATAGGGTAACAGGTCAGGTGCTTGTATTGCGTGCGGCTTACCTGGTTCAATCCCCAGCATCAAATATTGTCCCCTGAACACATCCTAAAACCTCCCAAACAAAAACAAAACAACAGGAGGTCAATCCTGCCCCCCCCCCCCCAAAAAAACCATCATTTTCAGAGACAGAAATACTCAAAATGTACTACTTTCTTCAGGGAGCTTGCTAAGAAGGCTGGCTGGCTCCTGCCATTTTATTTTCAAAACAATAGCTTTTATTTAATTTTTTTATCTAAAAAATATTTTTATTGAATCACAGTGATATACACAGTTACAAAGTTATTCATTATTGGATTTCAGTCATAGAATTTTGTTAATTTATTTTTTATTTTTTGCTTTTTGGGGTCACACCCGGCGATGCACAGGGCTTACTCCTGGCTCTGCACTCAGCAGTTACTCCCTGTGATGCTCAGGGTACCATATGGGATGCTGGGAATCGAACTCGGGTCGGTCGCATGCAAGGCAAACGCGCTACCCACTGTGCTATCACTCCAGCCCCATCAGTCATATAATTTTCAACACCTGCCCCTTTACCAGTATACATTT